GGACTTAAGCTTCATAATTTTATTAAGAATCACTACAAGAATGTGCAAAGTTTAAAAAATAGGCAAACCAGTAGATTATATTAATGATCGAAAGAATAATTTATGGTAGGATAAATATCGTCAGTTTTTGTGTTGTGCTCTTGAGTCCCACAAATAAATTATGTAACTAATAAAACAACAGATAAACTGGGACAATGAAAATTTTACAATCTTAAGATTTACTTGCAACAAATATCTCAAATTTCTATTATCACAATAATGGCCATGTTAAAATAATGAAAGTCACCGCATGTATTGCAGGGTTTAGATCACATAATACACTATAGGAACACAATTCAAATTTGTATACATCAAGAATAAATTTTAACTGTTAGCTACTAGTTAAATTTTATGTCTTCTCTATGCAATGATTGAAATTTTATTATTTAGAGAGATTCAGAAAAAAAAAATGCATATCATAATTCATATCTCAAGACCCCACAGGGGCATTATTAAAAGACCTGCTTCCCAGAAGTGTTTTCCATTGCATAGGTGCCATCTTGAGTCTGTCTTTCTACCCCCTACTTCATGTTTGCAGTTGTTCACTTTCTGAAGATCAAAGGATTCCATGGAGAAATAGGTTCACAAATAATGATATTTTTGTTCTCATTTGTATTTTTTCATACCTATATTTGTTTTTTTTATGCCTATATTTGTTTTATTTCATTCTGGACATTAACTGGTTCTCTTCTTACGCATGAGTGCACATTTGATATACTGTTGAAATAATTTGTTACTTGGTAAATTATGTAGCTTTGTAGTGGGGAGTGGCCAATTGATACACTCATATTAGTTGTCCAGTTGTAGCTGGCAGCAGTTTACAGTCTGTATTCCCTCTCAGAAAGTGCACATTGATGAAAGGTTATATTTTGTGTAGTATGCATACATGTTATTAACAGATAATTTCCATATTAAGAATACAGTTGTCCAACTCTTTGTCCTAACTACTGTGACCACATTTGCATCATACATTATCACAGTTTGTTTTCACTAGTCGTTTGGTGCTTTTTTGTTGATTTCTCTTACGTATAGCTTTGTTCGTAATTGTATAATGTGTCACGTAATCTAATTTTTTTTCTTTTGATTTCTTTGTTAATATTGATCTTTGTTCAGTGTTATACCTTGTTTAAATTATCAAGATTAAAGTCAAGGTAACTGCAGGTAGATTTGTTTTCAATCCACTTATTAGTGGTTGTATCTGACACATAAATGAAGAAAACATGTACACATGCATACTTATATACATGTATATACATAAACATATAAACATGTATATATTATATATGTAAATATATATACAAGGATGCATTATATATGTATGTATACATATATATGTGCATACAATATATATATATATATATATATATATATATATATATATATATAATATATATATATATATATATATATATATATATATATATATATATATATGTATACATTATATATGTACATATAACTATATACATGCAAACATTATGTATATACACATGCATACATTTTATATGTACATATATGTATTTATGTGCATACATTATATATGTATGTATACATATATATGTGCATACATTATATTTATGTATAGACATAAATACTTGTATACATTATATATGTATGAATACATAAATATAAGCATACATTATATATGTACATATACATGTATACATATATATATATATATATATATATATATATATATATATATATATATATATATATATATATATATATATATATATGCATACATTATATAATGTATGTGTACATATATACATGTATACATTATATAATGTACATGTACATATATACATGCATACATTATATAATGTACGTATACATATGTACAGGCATACATTATATGATGTACGTGTACATATGTACAGGCATACATTTTATGATGTACGTGTACATATGTACATACATACATTATATGATGTACGTGTACATATGTACAGGCATACATTATATGATGTACGTGTACATATGTACAGGCATACATTATATGATGTATGTGTACTTATGTACATGCATACATTATATATGTATATATGTATGTACATAAATATTATATTTATCCATATCAGTTTATGTATTCCTGTGCCCCAGTCAGTGAATTGACTTTTCATTTCTTGCATGCATCTGTGAAGTAATCATTCAAGTGAGTGACTTTACCTCTGATAATATCAGAATAGCATTGTTGATAATTACGCTGTGGTTATATAGTAAGAAGATTTGGGGATTTGCTCAGACTGTAGCAGCTATATATTGAATTTTGTGAACCTACCACACATGCATGATTGCTTTATATCAGCCAGTAATATACCTGGATTTGTGAACAGGAATTTATGCCTACCTTTAGGTTCATATATTCCTAGGTCTTCTTACTAAATGCTTGTTTCACTAAACTGTGGCGATCTTATCTCCTTTATGTAACACCTTAAAAAGTTACCACTTAACATAT